CTATTGGTACAATTTTGAGCGTATAACTGCTTATTCGGGTTAACAAAGCACCTAAATTTTTGTAAAGAAGATGCAAGTATAACCATAACTAAATTTTATAATTTTATAATATAATTAAAATATATTTAAAAAGAGTTTATATCATAATAAATTCAAAGTAAATGTATATAAACTGCGACGTTATAATCCTTTACAAAGCAATGCATAGATATCATGGACAAATTTTAACAGTAGCACGTTTAGAGTTTACTCTATTTATTAGAACACAAGTATGTGAGAGTTTGATTTCCACAAGTACATAATTTCTAGAGGTGGAGAAGGATTTGTGAATCTTTACAATAGATCAATAATCATTTGGCCCTTACCACATCGACGAAATCATCGTCGGTGAGCCAGTCATTTGACTCCTCGCCTTCAGAATATTTATCTCGAGAATTTGATTGGCCTGTTTTCTGCAAATCGCCACGAGTTTCTGGTCTCTTGTTCAGCTGAACCCAGTCATTGGATCCGCTGGATGAAGGAGCTTTGTCACGCAGCTTCGACTTAGGCATGGATACTCTATTAGAAAGACAATTATCATCGTCTTCCAGATCACTAAACGAAACATCCTCTTCATGTTCCAGGTTGTGCTCGACTCTCAAGGAACTTCCACTGGAAATATCTGCTTCTTCCACCCATTGCTCAGCGTTATCTTCACCTGAGGTAATCTCTAATCCTTCTGCTGCATGTACAATTTCACTGACCCTGTCCTCGGATGAGACATTCTCTTCTATTGTCTCACCAAACTTGCCACTCTCCTCAGATGCATCAAGACTACAGTTTTCAGTTTGTGCATTCTTGTTTTGCAGCTTCTGCAGAAGTGCATCTCTGGTTTCAACAACCTGCAACATAAATAACCTTCAAGAAAATGGTTTTGATTGCATAGAACTAAACATGCTTTTCCAGTCACGAAGTGAACGTATAACATGCATAGAAATTAGTTAAAATAGAGTGAATAAGAAAAAACACACGCATAGGCATAGGAGATCAAAGAGAATATGCTACTGGCTAAAATAAAGTTGAATCCGTAGTTTAAATATTTGCCAAATACCCATAATGGATTGGGATATACAATTTTTTCTAGATTTTGGTGGATATACCACAGATTATTCTCTAACAACTTGATGAAAGACCAGCTTAGTGCTTCACATATTAAAGAGAGGAGAACAAGCGTTTCGGGGATTCAGAACATTACTATACCAAAAGAGTAGTAAAATCCGTACTACACTAACTTCAATGCTCACCCCCATAGAAAAGATTCAGCAAGTATATGCATATTACAGACACCATTGACATTATACAGATAAAATATAATTTGTGCACAAGGAATCCAGTGTTGATGCATTTGACTATCTGTAAATCTGTAATTGAGCGAACAACATCGTGATATTAAATCCTTATGCTACAAGAACATGTTTCTCGAAGAAATACACGTCAGAGAAAGTATGTTGACTAATTAATAATACAAAGCAATATAACATGCGTTTATAATATTATTCCTACATCATCTTTTTTAGGCCTAATTAATTCCTAAACCAAAGCGTGCGGAAAAGAACATACATGACAAACAGATACATATAAGGATGAATTAAGGAAAGCAACGGATGATAAGATCATTCTTGATCAGTACATAGTATATTACAATTCACTATTATGCATGCAAGTACAATTCAATAAAACAACACAAAAATATAAAATCTCTTGCCTCCGGAGTTGAAAGAAGCTCAAAATCATGCTCGTTCAGTCTTGGAAGCAACAGTATGAAATATATCATCCAAAATCTTTCCACTCCCAAGTTATTCTGAAGGCTAAACTTAAGAGCTTCAAAACTTGGGACTAGGTGTTCAATATTTTCAGCATGTTCTCTCTGACTCTCAGACATTTTGAAATCTGCGGTAACCAATATCTTGTTAACCAAAAATTTACCTCAGTTTTCATGGAGAACTGGAAAAGAGAAAAGAAGAAGCTAGAGGGTAAGTACTTCTCAAGTATATCCTTATACAATATGCTCCTATAACACTACGCCTATGGTCAAAACTCGAAAGTAGTGAGCATTAATCTCTCATTACAATGCGCATAAACCGGCCATAAGCAAAGCCAATCCAAAATGGCATAGGTTACCAATCCTAAATGTATCATATTTTTTAAGCAACACCAAAACAGTGCATAAAGAAATCCCCTTTAATAACGGACATCTCTAATCTAGTGTTCCACACTTGAAGGACAGGTATTGCAAAAAAGGAGGAAGCTGCCTCAAACAAAGCAATATATTCTGCATTTGACTTTCCCCGCTACTGTAACCAATTATAGATATGATTTTTAATACTTTGGAGAACTAATTTAAATCCCTAAATTTAAAACCTAATTTGGTGTTGATAACAATTCAGTAAAAAATGAAACGTAAAGAAAATTTAGTTTTATAGCAAGTAATTAGTCAAAATATAAATAAATAAATAAATACCGTTATATAGTGTGAGTGGAAAATCAGTCCAGAGCTCTGGCCGGTTGGAAATTTTGTTAACAAATTCAATCACCTCATCGGTAATCCCAGGCACTCCATCATCGTCGTCATCGTGATCATCATCTTCATTTTTATCGTGACCAACACGATCATCTTGATCAGGGAATTGCAAGAAACTCGAAGCGAATCTGGAGATCTCCGACACGGCTTTGTTGCTTGACAACAACGAAAGCCCGCTCTTGAAGCTGCCACCGATCTCCGCCAAATCGTTGCGGATCCCCACTAGCTTATCTGAAGACCACAGTTCTTCTTCTTCTTCTTGTTCTGTTCCTTTCTCGGCGGCGGTGACGGAAGGAGGCGGCGCTAAAAAGGCGGCGACTCCTCGTAGTTGGCGGCCGATAGTCTCACCGATAACCGAAAGATCTTCCTTGGCGCCAACGTTCAGGTTTGTTGGACTGTGATCTGGTGAAGACGTGGACGAACCTGGAACGTCTGATTGGAGAGACTTCAACAGCCAAGACATTACTGAATATCAAAATATTATAATCAATTTCTTTCCCTTTTTTGCAGTTAGCTGAAATTTGAGAGAGAAAAGAGCATAAATTTCAGTTTTTGCTCCCTTTTCCACAATTTTTTTTTCGAAAGCGAAAATTGAGTTCAATGAAAAAAGAAAAAGAGTTGAAGTTGAAGGAGAGAGAAGCGGTGGAGATGGCGGTGGCGGTGTTTTAGCGTTAGGCCGCGGAGGGGCTTTGGTTTATCTATCCATTTGTTTTGTTTGAAGTTTTTTGCTTTCTTTTTGCAGACTCTTGTTGCGTTTGGTTCATGGTTAATAAAAGATTACCGAGGAATAGTATTATTGGATATGTTGTATTTTGTGTTTGGTTGGTTTAACAAGAATGTAAGATTATCGTGTTTGGTTAAAGGAATAAAATATTATTGTAATGTATATTTGATCAAATTATCCTTATTATATATTTATTTTTTAACAAATTAAAAAATATTTATATATTTTCTTTAAAAAAAATAAATTCATAAAATTTATATATATTTTTTACAAAATTGAAATATAAAAAGATTTAATAAAAAGATAAAATTTTATTTTAACCTCTTAACTTTATATAAAAATTTAATTATAGATTTTTTTTTAAATCTAAAATAGTTTAAGGATAAATTTGTAATTTAACCTTCGTAGAATTTTTATTATTTAATGACAGAATAAGGATATTTTTGAAAAAAAAAATTAAGGGCATTTTAGTCTAAAATATTAATAATCCAATAATACCTAAGGAAAGGGAGGTAATGATATACCCCAAAAAATTCACTATTGATAATGTAAGATTACTGGAAATGACATTCCTAGCCAACCAAACGAGGGAATGTAGATTCTATTCTTATGGGAATCTCACATTCCCCCAACCAAACTAACCCTAATTGTTTTCTTCTTTGGATTTCTAATTGGGATAAAGCGACTTTTAATCCTTGATTTTTCAATTCTTGCATATTAATCCCTGAATTTTTCATCGTCCCCACTAATCCTAAATTTGACCCCAAAAAAATCTCATTTTTAGTCTATCTGATAACCTTACATGTGATCAAAGTATAGCTTATCACTTAAGAGTGTCAGATCATCAAAATATTAAACATCCAAGTTCAGGTATCAGAATGAACGGGCTTTTAATCAAGGATTAGTGGGGATCAAATTGAAAAAATTATTAAATTCAGAGACTGAAAGTTGTTTTAAAACTTTGAAACTTAAACATTTGCTCCGCACGTCACTGTTTCTTGTCGTTTTGGTTCTTCATCCCCACTCGTCTCCTTCCCCATATTTAATTATTTAAAAAAATGGAAGAAGATTTACTATGATGGCAATGAAACGGCTTCATCTATATGTTTTCAGAAGCATAAGTATATTTTTTATTAAAGAAATTTTATTTTTCATCATTATATATTAAGAACACAGCAATAAACTAATAAATATAAATTCGAGAAGATAAAGTATAATTTTTTAAAAAAAATGGATAATTGAAAACAAAACACTAATACATAATTACGTCCATGAAAATGAATGATGTATGTGTCGCTAGGATGTCCATCTCATTTCATCAATGATTACCATCCTAACCATTATTATATAATAAACCCCCATCACACAAATACATATGTATACAGTATACATGCTTTTCTTGCCTCGCAAGTTACGGTAACTTGGACTGTAATGATTGTATTACCCCGAAAGGTAAGATGTTTATTAGAATAATCCCCTACTCCTTTCGATCAAACTTCCATGTTCCATCTCTTTGCCTTTCACGTTTAGTTACAGGCTCTTGCCTTGCGGTCGGTCCCCTTCGAATTTCCTTTCTCCTTGGCCGTGGAGGCAATAAGAAAAACGTACACCGTATCCGACACTCACATAAATCTAAACATAGTTCGTAAACATTCGACATCGACTAATCACAAGCCATAGAGTAGGGGAAAAGCCAAATATTATAAAGAAATTATATCAACAAGGGGGCAATCCTGAAAGAAACAGTAAGGATGAAAGCTCCTGATTCAGTATCAACACTTAAGAAACAGGTTTTAAAGAAAGTTACCAAGTGTGTTCGCATTATTACCAACTTTGATCAATGAAAACAATCAATAACAAAATGCTCTCCCTCTCTCTCTTAATATTTAATAATGAATCTTAATCCAGCTAACTAGGGCACATTCACAACATATGGTACACAAATTTCCTATTCTTCAAGCATTCTTCCCAAGCTCAAATTTCACAACTGACGACGAGTTTCGCCTTTTTTTCCTTCTTTCCTGTGCTTAGAAATATAAAACATGCGAAGCATCTACATCATGCCTGCATATGGATTGTGCGGTTGAACCGGCATACCTGAGTTGTAAGGGTGGACGGGGGTTCCGTAATTGTTGAACGGATTTGAAGGCTGCTGTTGTGGTGCTGCCATCATCATCATCTGTTGCTGTTGCTGATACATAAAAGCCTGCTGCTGATTGGCCATTGCTGCCATCTGGACTGAATACGGAGCGGGAACCATGTTGGAGGCATAAAAGGGATCGTGCGCTGGTTGTTGCATCATAGCACCAGACATAGTAGGTGGTTCCCATGGATTATAGCTAACGTTCTGGTTGCTTCTTCTGATTGCATCATCGTAAAGGCTGTCCAATGTAAGCTTATCGAGTCCTCCGGCCTATCAGTTTAATAAAATTAAAAGTGTCAACATGCATCATGCATGTATATATCATATTATGTTACCAATGAACGATGCACAAAACATTGAAGTGTGTGTAATGTGCAACAGCCTTGTAATGTAGCACACAATCTGAAAGGTCCAAAGAGGAGATAACAACGGTAAAAGTACCAGTTTGCTAGCGGCAGTAGCACTTTCATTTGTGCTTGGAGCAGTGACAAGTGCTAATTCCCAGCCTGTAGTACCATTTGCTTGAAGAGGTGGAGCAGCAGTAGTTGTTTGCTCTGCGGAAAGCCATCAGTTAGTTAAACATGAACACAATTTCCCAATAAGAAATATGCCATTGAAGCACAGTTGATTCGACTTAAAACGTTGCAAGAAGAATAGCTTAGGAGCTTATAAGTTCAAAGATATAATACAAATTTGAAACTATTCATATTAGTTTTATGTGGTACAAACCAGTAGAGAAGCGAGTTGTTGAAGGTTCATGTTGTTTATGATTGAATTACTGAAAAGGAATGAATTCAAACTCACCAACAGGAACGATAGCCAATGCCAGGGCATTCTTCTCATCCAACTCCGAAGCAACTGGGACAGGATCGTTTAAATTCTGCCAAAGACAAAAAGAAGAGCTCGCAAATGAATCTTGGGACAAAAAAGTCTTATGTCGCAGCCAAGTTCTCATATAACAATATAGTAGGTATAGCAAAAGAGAGACTACAGACTTGATAGTTAAAATTAAAAAATAATTCAAATGAATTGTCAAGTTCTAATACAACGATACAGTCGGTAACAAGAAAAGAAGGCAATGAAAATTACCAACAAATCAGGTTGTTCAACAATAGGTTCTTCCACTTTCTCCAATTTTTTCGGTTCAGGAGGAGGAGGTGATGGCGAACGTTTCTCCTCCACCTCTGGGGTTTTCTTGTACTCAATGGCCAACACTTCCTTGGGTTTGTCAATCTGCTAGTTTAAAAATAAAATGTAAGACGACAATAATTGCAAACACCACTCTTTTGGCTTACTTTTCCAACACAAACTTAAAATCAGATTATTTATTTTGAGCAAACCAATCAAATAAAACTATTTTTACAAATTCGTAATCCAAACAGGATGACATTTACAAACATAATACATATATCATATCGCAAAGGCATTGAAATATATAAATTGTCTTCCTGTCAAAACAAAAAATCAATTTCACAGAGGATTTTTAGACCTGATCTTTACGAACTGCTGAAGACCGTGGAGCTTCTCTTACATACTCTTCCATGGCTTGTAGAAATGATGCAGGGGGCTACAGCAAAAACACCGAAAGTACATTAGTTTTATAATGACGACTCAAGTGGATTGGAGGAAAAGCAAATCAGTTTCAGAAGGCACGAAACGTGGAGGATCCTTACCTGCTCTATCTTTATAAACCTTTCCCCACGCCCTACATCCAGACTTTTACATACTTCATAAAATTCTGAAAGCCTCTCTGCCTGCAAACAGAAAGTGTTAAATTCCCCCAGAGTTTGAAATCATCCATATTCACAAAAAGGAGATGGCATTAGCGATACTGGAACAGAAATTTACCTGTTGGCCAGCCCTCCTGTATATGTCCAAAGCCTTCAGAGCATCAGGGCGTTGCATCTCAAAGAACTGTAATAGTTCAGGGCATCATATAAACATGATTCACTAAATAGAAAAACAGCTTATTTGGATTAATACTGCAGCTTACCTTGTCTACAAGATTGACTGTACCATCACTAATAGCTTGATAAAGTTTGACACTTTCCGAAGCAACCTGTTTGAAATGACAAGGAGAAGCAGAAGAGAATGTCATCTACGAATTCACCCTACAAATATCAGAAGCCTAGACTGATAGATGTTTAAAAAGTAACATACCATTGAAAGTGCCAACCGGATAACAAAATTATGAACAGCTGCACCTTGTGGCTGCACAGAAATTGCATTAATACTCTCACTAAATAAAGGGAACAAGAAATAGGAGGTACAGCTGTTAGCCTGTTAGCACAAACAAGAGGCGTTAAATGCTCACCTGACAACCAAGAACACGAAAAAGAAGCTGTTGCAAAGCAGGCAGCTGCTCAAGCAACTCAGCAGTGTCTAGATCTTTGGTTCTCTGCAGGAAGATTAATCTATGAACTCTCCCGACGGTTCAGTTTCAATAAAATTAAAGAGACTGCAAGAAACGGTTACAATTCTAACAAGATATTGACAAATATAAGGTGTTCACAGGGTAGTTTCAGTTGGTTAAACTTATAGCCCACAGTTACAGATGTGCATGCATGCTTCTAGGCACTAAAAGCTAGAGGATATTACAAAAGGATGCAGAAGAGAAGTTTTGAAACGTAATGTAATTTTCTATATTATAGGTTAAAATCCCATGTGTGGTTCATTGAAATGAAGCATGCAAAATTTGAAACCCTATACAAGATCCGTACCAAATACTACGTATGATGTTACACGAAAGCCATTAGAACCAAGTTAAAATTGAAAAGATGTAGAATCAAGAATAAAGATTATGTATCAAAATAAGTTTCTTACTGGGCGGTCCATCTCAATATCATACTTCAAGACACGGAAACATTCCAGCCTCTCCTCCAAAAATAAGGCATAAGTGCGAACCCATCCAGAATAATCCCAAGCTGTGAAGCAGATAGTAGAGGATTTCATAAACAAGGAACTTCAGTTTTATTGAAATTAATAACTAAGGTACCGTTTGGGCTGGAATCATCCTTGAAATGAGACATGTTAAGCATATGGCTTCTACTTCTTCCATAATTAATGAGTTCTTCATGAAACGTAGGGTCCACCTCCCTCAAAGCACGATGAATGACAATAAGAGTTTTCAAAGCAACCTAAATGGCAAACAAAATTCAGTCAACCAAATTCCACCAACATCTATGAATTAAAATATACTTGTTAACGATTGCAGAGATTGGCTACCCAATTAAACTAATAAAAGAGCACTAAAGGATGAAGCTCAACAATTATTCTCCATATGCCAGTCACCATCAAGTTAACTAAGAACCCATAAATAGATCATCTCTCTGATGTTTTCAGTATTAACATGCATGAATTATTCTCCATATGCCAGTCACCATCAAGTTAACTAGAACCCATAAATAGATCATCTCTCTGATGTTTTCAGTATTAACATCGCACGATGATAACCTAAGTCCCAAGTTTTGGAAGTAAACTCCCATGACAAACGATACAAGTGAAACTTGCAATTCTAGTAAGTTTCTGGCAATACTATGCAACCAAAATTGTATTTGTCAGAATTTGCTTCTTTAAATTAATGAAGGTATGGAGCATAAAAACAAGGAAAAAAGTGGACAAATGCAGAAGATCTTATATTTCATCAAGCACAAAAACCGATGATCCGCTTCTTGAGAACAAAAAAACCTTTCCTTGTCTTCAGTTTCTTTTCAGCATAAGAAACATTCTGAAATTTTAAATCTTATATGAAATGTAACATGATGGAAGAGAAGATGGGACAGATGATGAATCATCTGAGAGTCTTGATTCCTATCACAAGTTCAATACTGATTATCATAGATACCTTTAAAGATCTTTTAAAGCTAAGAGAAAGCATTATTATATACAAAAATATAAATGCACATACACACGTATATGTATAACAGAAATCTTAGTTAACCAATAATTCCACTCTGACAGTATAGCTTGAATTATATTTTTGAAGCAACTCGGGTTAACTCATAGTAGCACATCCAATCCTTGAAAATCACATCAAAATATGTCAGTAACAATTTAACATACCGCCCAATTATGAGTCCTTGACAACCGCCTTGCAAGAGCATGGATGCAGTAGGCGACATCAGCCCGAGGCCTGGTAGCTGAAATGGCAGCGAAAATTGCTGTGGAAAGGGGAAAATGCAAGTGTTATAATTATGTAACTCATCTACAAAGTTCTCTTTCTATGAGCCGATCAGAACTCAAACTAAATGATACCATCACCGTCCACCTTGGAAAGGCATAAAAAACGGAAAACAAAAACCCATTACCCACCTCTGATGTTTTTTTCCCTAGCTGGGCGTTCATAATGATTTGTGGCCTTAACAATAGCAATATCCAATTCCTGCAAAATGCAAAAATCCAAAACCGAAAAGGATCAGCAACATCCGTAATTGAAATAACCAGCTTGATTGTTATCGTTATATAAAATCCACCTTATAATCACTATTGACTTTAGCCAATGAAACGGTGGTGGTATCTTTGAGGGCGCCCAGTGCTTTCCTCAAGCTATTTTGTGAGCCTCCGCTAGACATTCTATCTCCCTCTCAATCACAAAATTCTGACAAAGAAAGGAAGATTTAAACAAATGTTATTTTCCTTCATGAAACATCAATTTTCATATAACCATGCAACAAAATTCATCATAGAACGTCAAATACAAATATTACTTCCTTGATCATAAAAAAAAAACATATATTTGCCCTCAACTCCCGAATTGCAAACCACGAGTTAAGATCTAACTATACCAAAAATCATATTTGCCTACATAATCCAATAAGCACTATTTAACTTTCAGCACAATTTGAGAAATTCTCGTCACAAGCAAATACATACACTCAACGTTGAAGAAACTAGCATTATGATTCTTGATGAAACCAAAAACAACCGATCGAAAAAAGAAATGAAACCCAGTAAGCAAAAGAAGAATAAAACCCATTCGAAACGAAAATGAAGCTAAAAAGCTTCAGAACTCGATCAAACAAAAAGTACCCACCTTTGACTTACCACCCAAAGGGGAAAAAGATCTAACCAAAGAGAAACGAAAACAAAAAAAGGCAATCGAGCAACAAGTCCAGAGTTATATTAATCTTCAACACAATATATTGAAGAAATCAGAGATCAAATAGCTTAATAAAGAGTTTTACCAGATGCTGTAATCAGAAAGAGAGAGAGAAATTGGTGGGTGGACTTCTGGTGTTCTAGAGACAGCAAAGAAAAGTCGAACAAATAATGAGCATCTTTGAGTTCTGCTGTGTTTGGTTGGTCGTCGGCGTCGCTATTTTTTATTCATTTTCGCTTTTTTATTATTGTTATTTATTTTTTGTGAATTGCAAATATTCAAATTTCTTTCTAGATTTTTGGTTTTCTTATTATTTTTTATGATCTGTCAGAAAATACGGTATTGTAAGAAATTGTACTGGAAAATTGGCGCGTGAATAATATGCGGGGCTCTGTTACTCTGCGTTGGCTTCACGCTGCACCCGTTTCCATTTTTTGTTTTTCTATTCGATTGTAACAATATTCTTTAATTAATTTAGGGTCAACTATCCTCTTAGCCATTGAACTTTGATCTGTGTATCAATTTGATCATTAACCTTTAAAACACTTCGATTTTAGCATTTAACTTCAAAACACTTCAATTTTAGCCTTAAACTTTAAACGCTTAAATTTTAGCATTAAATATTTTATATAAGTTTTCTTGTCATTGAATCATTAAATCATTAATAATGTGATTATGTGAATATTGTTTTCTTCATTTTTTGTAAAAGATCATCAAATCATCTAGTTATTATTGTCGGTCAATTGTCGTTCATCATTTGTTACTATTTGGGATAAGATAGAGATCAAAATGATCACACTTCATTCTGCTAGATTTGTATGAAAATCAATTAAAATCGACAAAAATCTTATCTAAAAATTCAACATTCTAAAGCTCTTATCTTCTTCAATGGTCGTTTGATAAGATTAATTTCAAGATCAATTATTTATTTACTTGAAAATATATTTCTCTTGTTCATGTTTTTTTAATAAACTTGTCAAATTCTAAAATGTTCTGAAATCCCTAAAATGATAGATTCTATATTAATGGACTTTTTTTTGAATTAATCATTGGTATTTGATTTATTGATCGACTAATCTAGATCGGGTACTGTAGAGGCAATGACGACCCTCCTAACCCAGTTTGCTCTATTCGCAAACGCATGATTGAACCTCTGACCTTACTTAAGAGACCTAGTGTCTCATCCCACTATACCAACTTGTTGATGGTTTTATTAATGGATTTTAATACACTACTAAAGTTCAATAGCTTAAAATCCATCTGCTTTTAATTTTATTTTTATTCTATTTTAAAAACGTGATCTTAACTCTATAATAGTATATTGTGGTGAAATTATTATACAACTATTGTTTCTAAATTATATTAACAATAATATTTACACAATAAGATAAGTCACCTAATTAATAAAGCAAATTGCCTTAGATAAAAAAGAGTTAATTATCACATAAGTAGATAGTATTACATAGAGATAAGCATGGGTCAGGTTTTTTGTCCACCTGACCAAACCTGAGAAAAAATGAATCCTCCACTCGAGACCCGACTCGACCAAAACAAGATTTCACTCTACTAGAACCCGACCTGATATATAACTTAAAAACCCGACTCGAAATAATAAAAAAATATTATTTTTATTCAATAAAACAGTGACTTAATTAAAAAATATATATAGAGAGGGGTATTATTGTAATTATTCCTAAACATATAAGGTAAAATTATATATTTTCGGGTCGGGTCGGGTATTTTTTACCCTAAACCCGGACCAACCAAAACATCACATTTAAAAAACCCGACCCGATTGGGTCGAGTAAAGTCGGAACCCGTCGGATTCGGATCCTATGCCCATCCCGAGTTACATGCCCATCCCTAGTTACATAAGTGTTAACTATAAATATAAAGTATATTATATTTTATTAAAATGGAATTTAAATTTTAAAAATTATAGGAATAAATTTTAAACCTAAGTTATAAACTGATAAGAAAAATAACAATTGGAAGGATCTTTTTGTTTTCGTTTTATTTGTTTATTATGTTGGAAAAAGAAGAGTGTGGTGAACGATAGCTGTCTTTTTAGAACAATAAGTCGCTTAGAAACAAGAAAACTTAATGCTGCCAGCTAAGCCTACTCGAGTGACAAAACACCAGCATTTTAACGTTTTATTTTTCAGATGAAATTTTATTAAAAAAATAACTTATTTTAATTAAAAACAGATAATACCTTGGTTCTGTTTTGAATAATTAATTAATTTTTTTTATAAAACTTTGAATATGACATGTTTCGATTTCAATTTGCTTATAATTAAAGCAACATTTATTGGAAAATATTATTATTTATATCTCCACGTAAAGTATGTTTTCTTAAGGACAATTCCACAAAAAACATGATACATGGAACTAATTTTAAGAATTATACCATAAATGACAAGATTTTAGATTAATTATTCTTTATATTTCCACGTGTAGTGTGTTTTCTTAAGCACGAAAAACATGACACATGGAACCAATTTTAAGATAAATGCCTTTTTTTTGTACAGACTACAGTCAGACACGTTAGAAGTCGGTGCCACGTGGAAACCAGGTGAAAAATTATTGGACAAGAACGGTGAGGGGAAAGACGATCGTACCCTCTTCTTTTGAAACGAGAAGAAAACAAAGGAATAAATAAAAAACAACAAGGGCAAGATTAGTCCTTTAGAAAATTGTCATGATTCTTCATAGAACAAGAAAATGTTCGATTACCAAGTACTTTTTAAAATTGGTTCGAATTGTTCTAAAGAATATCAATATAAATTAAAATTTTAAAATAAATTAATATATATATATATATGTATATATGTATATATCTACAGCATAAAAAATAAGAAAATGAAAGGAAGTGGACCCCGAAAACAACCTTCAATTATCATTGATATTATTGGCCTCAAAACAATAAATTCTTTTGAGTTCGACTTTTTATCTTCTTTGTGCTCCATGTTTGATGCTACAGAGGAGGCTGCTTGGGCGGGCTCCACAAAGCTTTTTTTTTTCTTTTTTAGTTATTCTTTTAATAAAATAAATCGAAATTTCTAAGCCGTGGATTAAGCTTTTTGGACGTGCAAGATTTCGTTTGTTCTTTGAAGCTCTGGCATTAGTTGGATCTTAGATATATGATTTTATATATGTTCCAAGATCACGGGCTCTTTGCATTTATTATATTTCTGGCAAATTTAAAATTCCATGCACGGTTCATATTTTTATATATTTGATGGGAGAAGAGGAATAATCTAAAATTTAATTGAAAATATAATATTAACAGAAATTAAAGCAATTTTTTTTAGAGAAAATCGCCTCAGTGACCAAAAAAAAGTTATAATATACGATTTTAACCAACTTTTTTTGGATTTGCCAAAATGACCAACAAAATCGCAACGCGAAATAAAAATCGCAACGCGATCCCCAGAATCGCAAATCAGTTTCCAGAATCGCAAATCAGTTTCCAAAATCGCAACGCGATTCTTGAAAATCGCGATGCGATAGTACAAATTCGCATTGCGATTTTCCATAATCGCAACGCGAATATGAAAATCGCAACGCGAACACATAAATCGCAACGCGTATCCGTAAATCGCAACGTGTATCCGTAAATCGCAACGCGTATGGGTAAATCGCAATGCGTATCCGTATATCGCAACGCGTATCCGTAAATCGCAACGCGTATCCGTAAACCGCAACGTGTATCCGTAAATCGCAACGCGTATCCGTAAATCGCAATGCGTATCCGTAAATCGCAACGCGTATCCGTAAATCGCAACGATAATCCGTAAATCGCAACGCGTATCCGTAAATCGCAACGATAATCCGTAAATCGCAACGAGAATCTGTAAATCGCAACGATAATCCGTAAATCGCAACGAGAATCTGTAAATCACAACACTGAAATTTTGGGTATATAACACTGAAATCATAAACTAAATCCCTAAATCGCAACTCATTCCATCTCCATCTATCACTCTCTCCGGCGACATCCGTTCCTATATCCAACGACATCCTTCCCAATCCGGCAACAGGTTTTAGTTTCGCAGCTCGTCTGTTTAGTAAATTAATTTACAACCATGAAATCATCTAATGTTGATCATGTTTGGATAGATTTGTGTTTTGGAGGGTCATGGGATAATGTTCATGGTGTTTTACAATATATGCCTTTACCCATGAATCTTCAACTAAAATTGTCTTTACAAAAGTTAACTTATGAAACTCTAATGCTACGTGTTTCAAATAAATTGAATTTAGAGCCCCTAAGTGGATTTAGGCTATCTTATCAGAGAAATGGTAAAGTTTATTTGTTAACCGACAATGAAGATGTTGAACGATTCATTGCTTACATTAGTGTTTCACAAGATGATGTTACATTGTATGTTGTTGAACCTAGAAGTAGTATTGTTGGGTCAGTAGCGGGTAGTAATCAACTAAGTTTTTCTCAAAACCCACAACCTTTCTCTAATCCAAATCCCAATCAACTTTCAGCACCAAATTCCGGTTTTCGTATTGACCAGTTAGACGATGATGAGCCAACAGAAAAAATTGTGAGTACTAGTCAGTATTCGAAATTTGGTCTTGGTCAATATCCGGACTTTGATATTGGTCAATACACGGATTTTGATGATGTTTCAGAAGAAGAAACAGACCATGCGTGTAATGATATTGATATTGGTCAATACCCGAATTTTGATGATGAAACAGCCGTTGCCGAAGAATGTAATGTTGATGATAATGAGGAGGAAGTTACGACTGTGAATGAACATGTTGAACATCCATTCTGTAATTCATATAATCCTGAAGAAGAAAAAGAAGAAGAAAAAGTCCCCGAAGAAAAGAAAATGCCACGGGCGTATAACTGGAATATGCCAGAATTACTTCAGATACCGGAAGAAGAGTTGATAAAGAAAGCAGTTGATTGTTACACAAAAGTTATTCGTATCAAGAAAGATGATTGTTTTGATACAAAGGAAGACTTGAAGATAGCTTTATATACGAAATGTGTGGAAGATGGCTATCAACTAAAAGTTAACAAATCAAGCAAAGATCGTTTCGAAACAAGGTGTATGATTGACAAAAACTGTACGTGGCGTATGATTGCAAAGAGAATAAAAGATTGCAAAATGTTTCAAGTTAGGACTTTTATTGATAAACATACATGTTCAAGAACCCAAGTTTTTCCTCACCATAGACAGGCAAACAAAAAGGTGTTGGGTGG